GTTTTTGGCAAAGCCAAAAGTTACATGGTGGTAAGTCCGGTGAATACGGTGTTTGGGGAACGACGCTCGTGAAATTTTTTGCGAAATGGCCACGAAAAATGAGCGCTGTGTGTCACGGTGCATGATCGTGTTGCAATAATCAAGAATTTTTGGCCCATAGTTCTGGTCTTTTTTTTTTTTGCGAACTGCTTCACGAAAACGAGGCATAAAGCTTAAATAATATTCCTTATTTACCGTTTGATCAGGCGGAAGGAACTCATTCAACATGACCTTGAATTTTTGAGCGGCTTTGACGTGATTTTTTCGGTCTTGCCTCACCTTGAGCACGATATTCTTTGAAGGCTTTGTACCACTTATAGACGTTCTTCTGCGACCAGTTGAGTTCCAAAGGCTTTCAGTAGCATCCTCAATGTTTCTGCAGCCGAAAATTTCCTCAATTAAATCAGACATTATAAAAATCGCCGAAGCCACTTTTAGGCGTTTAGTAAACACTACTACTACTACAACAAGCGTAACTAAAATACCAATGATGACATTGACATAAAATTTGGCGTAGATGTCAATAACAGTGCTATCAACATTAAAAAAAGAGAATTAACCCGAAATATTAAACGCCCGAAGCTCACATTAAAAATTCCCCTTACATTTTTCCCACAGAAGTATGTACATATGGGTGTATAAAATAATATTAATGATATTTTTCAATTTGATTTTTTTTAATATTTTTTTAAGACAAATACATACATGTATATGTATGTATAAAATAATCTTAATAATTTTTTCAATTTTTGTTAATATGAATACATATGTATGTATATCGCTTAGATGTTTGCCAGCACCAGGAACTGCTGAAAACCGCCTATTCGTAAGTGGTGAAAGCTTGACTTACAAAACCACTAGAGCATTCCCTCGCATCTAACTTATTCTTTTTTTGAGCTGTTTTCAATTATTAATTTATATTAGCCTCAAGCTCACTAATTTTTAAAGAATGCAAACAATACTTAAATAATATTCATCAATTCTAAATATTCAATTTGACGTTTTTCTTCAGCTGACACCAGTTTGCAGAATCGCGCTGATATCCTAAACTAAAAAGTTGTTCTATATTTAAATTCATAAAATATTTTCATTCAAACAAATATCTTTGAGAATTTCACCAGGTTGCAGACCCCGCTGCATTCACCGTGCTGATTACGTTTCAAGTTTAATTTCCGCAATGAAATTGTTGTTATTTTTTCCAAAAAAAATTGCACTAAAATATGATCTAAAGATTTTGCAGACAATTTGAGCTCAGCATCTAAGAACAAAGAATATATTCAAAAAGCGTAAACAGCAAATTTCTCAAGGCAACAGTAGCTGCTTCCATAATAGACATTATGAGCGCATGTGAAAACACACACAAATATATATTGCTTTGTTTTGAAATGTGCATAGACAGAAAGCAAAACACAACATAGCAAAGTCTAGTTAGAGAGAAGAAATATGTACATATATACATACCAACGAAACGTGAAACAAAAGTTGCATGAAGCGTGTAGACGCTATACATACATACATACATACATACATACATATGTATTGTTTTCAAACTTTTGCTAAACTGGCGGGAAACAACGTTTATATTTTTATTTGTTTGAAGTGAAGCAGTTGGCAGTGAGCTGGGTAATTAGAAGCACAACAATTTGGGAATAGCAGAGTTTCTTCAATAGTCTTTCAATCTCATTTAACTGAAGCGAGCTTCAAATAAAACTTTTAACATTTGTATATTATATATGATAAATTTGCGGATCTGGAGTTTTTCTTTGTTAACGGTAATGAGTAAAAGGTACCAAGTATAAACGATGAATCTGGTGCACTTGTGCAGCTAGAAACAATATGGCTATCATTAGTGAAAGCTCCCCCAAATAATTTCCAGAAGACAATGATATCGGCCTCCGTAACCTGAGCCGAAACTGCAAAAAGAAATGATTCCTTCAACAATATAATTTGATCAAACTTTGCAATAACTGAATTCTTTCATTGGCGCTGTTTTGTACCCAGCGGATCCGTAATCCAGCTCACCACCTCTCTAGGCCAGTAAAATTATATGTCAATATATTTTGACGTTAAGCAACACCAACAGCTCCCTCAGCAACGGGAAGGAACTCTTCGAGCCGTTCGATACCAAACGAAGTCACAGACAAAGTCATTTACCTTAATTTATTGCCAGAGCAATATGATGTTTTCCAAAAAATTAGGGACCGAAAGTTTATACTAAGCCACCTCCTAACGGCTGATTGTTTTTTTTTTGATGAGCTTTATTTCATGTCCGAAATACACTCGGTGGGGTGGACATTCCCTGCCGAGGGGCAACCGCAAATAGAAAATTTAGCTTAATTTTTTATTTAAATTAATTTTCCATAATTTTTGGATATTGCTGGCACCGGCATATGAACCCGAACCTTCCGACGCAATGCTAGCTACTCGGCTACCGCGGCCGCTGGCTTACTTCCGATCAAAGTAGTACACCATTCAATGTTCGTTAGAGGCATAAAAGTTAGCTTTATTTTGTTTTTAAATAAGTTTTGAATAATTTTTCGATGCCAGGACTCGAAACAATGGCCTACCGCTTGATGGTCCGTACTGCTATCCACTCGGCTATTGCAAAAAAAAAACGTTCGTCAAGTGTAAATTGCTTATTACGATTAACTTTGATGGATTATGTAAAAACTTTTTGAAAATTTTATCAAGACTTTGGATATCTATTTTAAAACTTCTACGAACTACGAAGCTCCTATATAAGAGCAGTACTAAATATAATCGGGCGGAAAAAGAAGCGGTCTCACTGATGCCGTCTTTCAGCTGCCTCGGTATTTTTTATTGACTAGAGTCTTTAGCGACTTTTGCAATTTATATACTGATTCCGCAGCCAGACAGACAATCTTACCAATAATTTCATTCCCTACAATGCCCTTGTCACCATCCTGGCGTTCTGCTTCTAAGACACGTTACCTGTTACTTCAAGCAGTCATCCAACATTGTACCAACTTTTTTCTCGGATCTCGTATAAGAATTTATACAACAATTTGTGCGAGGGGATTAACAAAAGCTCGGTAAATTGACCAGAAAAAAGGTTCCGTTTAAATTCCATGATTTCAATGCATTTCTGAAGCCATAGATCCACTCCTGAAAACAGTCTTCAAAATCTTGCTTTTTAAGCTTATCAAGTTCAGATTAACCGCATTAAATTTCTCACCGTGGCAATTAAAAATATTTCATTTAAAGTTTTTTTCTTAGTTTTTGGAAATAACCAGAAATCACAAAGTGCTATATCCGGGAAATATGGTGCTAGACATTTCTGCGATCCCAGTGATCGCAGCAGTGTGAGAAAGTGGGTCTTTCTTCCTGTTTTCCAAAAATTTTAGAAAACTTTTGTTAAACACTCTTGTGTATATTTTTTTTTTTGAAGTTATAGTCTGACCCTCTTCGAGTAGATACGATTTTAGATTGGATGAAGTAGACTGCCATCAATTCTTTTGCCGCTGATTTTTTTTGGTTAGATTTTAACGAGTTTGCTGTTGGGTTCGATATTATGCTGTTGGGTTGGGGGATCGTTCGTATAGAACCAAAATTTGCCAAGACTTACAACTTTACTAAAGGTGCTAAACTGACCATTTTCGAATTTGGTTAGGAAAATTGAACAAAATTTTCTCGAGCCTCTTTTCGGGTCTCATTTAAAATTTGTGGTGCCCATCAAGCAGATTTCCTCGTGTATCCCAGACGATTACTTAACATTTGCGTACGGCCATGGCATTAAAGTAGAGTTCGATACCAATAATTTCTTATGTCAATCACCCTCGACAATTTTGGATTTCACCACAGCTAGAGTGACGTCATCAGTGGAAGATTCTGGTCGACCTTCTCGGGTTTCATTCGGTCTGGAATTTCGGACCATTTAGGAATAGTCTTTAAAAAAGATGCAATCCTTTCATATGCAATTCGAAATTCACTGAATATTTGTATTGACTGTAAATTACGCCGAAAGCCGAAGAGAAACACATGGTGAATTTCGGTTTGCGTTGATGGTGAAATTTCGTCTGATCTATCCTCAGCTATCTTACGTTCTCTCGTCTCCATTTTAGCCAATCGTTCTAAGGTTTGATAGGCTAAAGTCATTGCAAAGAATTTGGTGTTTTTAGACTAAAAAAAAAAAAAACAATTGAAAGTCACCAACTGACCGAACTTTTGTTAATCCCCTCGTATGTAAATATATTCCTGAATAAAAATTGTATTTGAGTGGGAATTTATGGGGGGTAAAGGAAACTAAAATTCTACATATGCTTCTATATATTTATATGTAAATATATATGTTCAGTATGTATTACAAAGATAACAGCGAGAGAAGCCATCGCCGTTCAAGTTGCAATGCGCTGCAGGTGCATTTTGTGTATGTCGTTGTAGCTGTAGTAAAATTGAATAATTGATCAATTTACAATAAACATCTGTCGTTTGATATAAATAGCATCAAAGTTTTATCAATTTGATCATTTATGCATGCATGTAGTTCAAGAGTCAATTCAAATGAAAGCATTTTTAGACATTTTGTTTGAATTGAATAATAATTTGCTAAATTCTTCTGAAATATTTTCTACATTTTTTAAAGACTCTTAAGTTCGCATATAAAGTGTAATTTGAATTTGAACGCATTAATAGCACATAAATGAATATTTACATATAAGAAAATTACTCTCCGCAGCAGCCTTCCATATCGGCGGCACTAGAATAAATTCTTTTCTATGAAAATTATCGAGCTACTTAATTTCCAACACTAAAGAGGATGAATGGTTGCACAATTTAATTAAGTGAAATAAATATCAGATTTTGTGATTTTTACAAATTTTTATTTGTACTTTTTGTATTTTTTCTTATTTTCTTTTATATTTACTTAACATTGTAGGAATTTGTTTCGCACAGTTTTTAACTTGTTCTTCTTCTTCTTCTTTAATCTAATTCAATTTCAGCGCAGCGTACCAAAAACTTTCAACGTATTCCAGTATTAGTTTGCTGCTACGGCATTTGTTGGTCGGGTTTTTTCTTGTGTTAAAGCAGTTACAGCAACAACAACAACACAACCATGTCGATCTCTGACTTCCGTAAGAAGAAATTGCTCTTCCTTTTCAACGTTTTCTTTGGTGAGTAATCGAATTTAATAAGCTTTTTTTTAGAGTTGCCAGATGTAACATAATTTCAATGTTTTTTGGATATTATTTCTTTAAAATATTTAATTTTTTATGTTTAGTAAAATTATGTACAATATATGGGGCAGAAAACTATATCAGTATAGTTGTTGTTTATTTAATACATATTATAATATATAATTTTTTTACAAGTATTTACGTATAAGTAGATTAAATTCAAATTAAGTATTATATTTTAAGTTTTTCATATAAAACTAGTAGGGAAAACGTGTTAACTCATATATGTATCTGGACTCTTCATCTGCCGTTATTCTTTCCCAGTATGTTCGACCAGTCCGGATCGCCTTAGTTAGAAGGTTTAACTCCTTTCCTACACAAGTATATGTATGTGTATAAATAAGTATGTGAAGCCAAGCTCTCTCTAATTTGTGGTGTGCATTTTGATCTACAAATTGTACTAAGTTGCCCCCGGGTGGCAGCTGGATTTCCAGGAGAAGCTCCATGTCAGACATATAATCGAAGGCGTTGACTTTTCCTGTCGTGAGACGATGGCAATTGGAAAATCTAAGTAAATTTTTATATTCGAATGATCGCCTGGTTTTTGCGGCCGCACATAAAGAGTGTTATAAAACTAACGCAAGATTTGAATGAAAAAGAAAAAAACACAGCTTTTAGTTCTTATATTTGTGGAATATACCACCGGGCAAAAGAGCTCCATGGCTTTCTATACACATTCGCACCCGTTTGTCGAAATTCTCCATTACTATTCTGCATAAATGTTGCTGAATTTCATTGATGCAACATGGAATCTTCTCCCTTAAATCACGCCAGGCTGTGGACTGGTTGCAATAGACCTGTGGCCTGCGATTCTGTTCATTAAAATGAAAAATTTTGTTATGCAGTAAAGGAAGTATTTCACAGGCTGCACGATATATAGCATTGCCTTGTTGAAGCCATATATTGGCCACAATATTATCAATCAAATGCAGCAAAAAGAATTGGGTTATCAAGTCGCGATATCAAGCACCTGACCATCCTCACCATTATCCAATTTTACCACCAGCTCAAAATACACTTCAAGTAGTGACACGTCGTGAAAGCACTTGTTTTTCGACAATCACCAATGGGTTCTCAAAACGCCAAAAACGGCAATTTTGTAGACTGAAGAAACACTTCTTCACACTACTTACACATACGCTGTAGAGAGCGTCTTGAAATTTGCCTTTCTTGTTCACAAAGCCGAATTGAGATTCCCGGATTGTCATCGATACTCGTATGCAGTGCTTCTATATTGTCATTTCAATGATTTGTTTTTGGACGACCCAGTGCACTTGGCGGCTCCAACGAATCCTAGCTCTCAGAATGTTTCAATTGATCTCTTCATAGTTGACGATGTTAAAATACTACTTTGACCATATTTTTGAAATACTGTTTAATTTAATATTCAGAGAAACTTTTCAATGATGATTTCGTTGGCTGTGTAGCGTCTTTTGTTGAAAGTAATCATTGTCCAGATCAATATGAATTAATTTCGGTCATAAAAAATCATTAGTCGTCTCTCGATAGCGCAATCTATTCCCTAAAACTGTTGTTCTCGCCTCATTTTCGAAAAAGTATGATCCAATGACTCCGGCGGAACATAAACCGCTCAAAGAGTTATGTTGCAACTACCCATTTTACTTACCATCCGTCCATAACAGGCGACGCCAAGAGCGAGCTACGTACACAATTGTTGACGTAGCGCGTCAACAAATTTCATGATTTATGTGTTCGAATATAAACGCAAATCAAATATACGATCTATATGATAACAAATAATTAGTTCCGAATTAAGTTTTCATTTCTTTTGAAAAAAAACTACGCATTATCTTCGATTATTACCTTTAAAAAGCCTATACTAGCAACCTTGTATAGTGACGAGAAATGATAACAATCGGTTTTACGGAAAAAATCAAATCGCCGCTGTTTTTTGCGGCACAAGCGTCACTAACGGCATGGGCAAGCGGTGACAACTTTGTGTTTACATGGCGCTCTCATATGATTGCTCATAAGGTTGCTATGGACGGAAGGTACGAGAGTTGGGTAGTTGCAGCATTATACGTTGAGGATGAATAATAAATCTTTGGCGTCGCAGGTGCGAAAGTTTTGCCTATTGGTAAAAATGGGTCGAGGTAAAATGGGTCTCACCAGTCAAGATGTTTGTTCTATGATATTTTTATAGTAAATTTTAATAATTTCAATACTTTTTTGAAGCGTGTATCGCTCCATTTTTATTACAGGCGTAGTTTTCACTTGTAAAATATCAAAAAATTATAGCTCCACAAGTAACATCTACCGGGATAGCAGGTTATAACACCTCTTACTGGAAAATCCTTAATATGAATACCCAAAATTCAGCCCTAACTGATGCCAACAAGTAATTAATAATTAAAACATTTATTATAAATTAATTTTCATATGACTGTAAGCCAATTAAAAATGCTTGCGTGTCATATTTTATAATCTATGCTCTGTACCTACATATGTATGTACATACATATAGAATTCCTCCCATTCATGCATACCGGTGCAGCCCTTATTTCACCCATTTAAATTGATCACATACAAAAGTTGTCAATTTACATAAAATTTCATGAACCCAAGCTTTATTTACTGTCCATTATGAAGCCAGTGGATGATGATTATTTTAATTGCTTAATGTACTGACATTTATGGCCATTGAATTTTGTAATATAATTTTAAACTGGCTAGCCAAAGTACATACTCGTAGTTACTCGCACGTAAAAAAATATATCTAACAAAATAGCAAAGCAATTAATTTTATATTGGTAATTTATTTTATATACACACTGCTGGCAACCCCAAACAGAACACTGCGGCGGGAGAATGTTGGCTGGTTAGAGCTTGGATGCCAGCTAGCTAGGCAGTGAGCTCGCGCTTCCGGAGCCGTTGCACTGACAGCGTAGCCAATGTAAACGGAATGCGGTGTGCGGAAGTGCTGACAGCTGTGTGCGTGACACTCAAAATAGAGTTTGGATTTCCGAAATGAAAGAGCGAACGAAAAAAAAAAAGTTGAACATTGAAGAGCATAAAGTTTTTCATGTTAATGCTGAGCTGTGCTATGACACTTTTACCACCTTAATTGTAAATAACTACACGCTTGCATTTGTGGACATGACGTCACTGCGGTAAAATATGAAAGTTGTCAGCGAAAAATCCTGTTTAGTACTGGAATAACCTAAACTAAAGTCCCAGCAGTCGGCGAAATGCCAAATCTAATTAAAAATTCAGTGATTCATACTAAATCTCATTTACTTTCTAATTTTTTGCATGGTTTTTAATAAGACTAAAAAATAAACAAATAAAAAGTTTTTGCTTTAAAATTTGACTCTTAAGAAACTTAAAGGAAGGTGCTTTCAATTAGTAAGCATCTATTAGTATATAAAATCTTTCCAATACTTTTCAATAATAATAACTGAAAATCAAAACAGAAAATCTGAAATACTTTTTCGGTTAAAAACTGAACTCACCCGTTTTAAACTAGTCGGAGACTGATATATATCAGACCGTAGACTGACAATTGCCATCTCTAAGCAATTAGTACAAATTTCAATTATAAGCACGGAATAGTTAGCAGTGCGTGGTGCCATTCCGAAAGCCTAAGTTCCCATTTGTATCACGAGCCCACTTCATAGAAGAAATAGTCTTCCCAATGGTAATTTGGGCCATAAACTACTACTGTACCAATTTCATATAAATCAAACGATAAATAAACATTTTTCGAATAGATCGATTTAGAGTCTGCTTTTCAGAATAAAAAATTTTCCCCGGATAAACTCAGAGTAAGATTTGCCTATGTAAATTAATTTTATATAAATTAAAATTAAATTAATTTTAAGATAATTTTTCAGGTCATTATTTTGTTGAATTGTTTTTAGGTTTTCAGTTCTGTGGAACTGTCTAAGGCCATATACTTTTGAGAAATAGTGAAAAAAAAAACGACAGCAACAGTTTTGGACGGTAGAAGTTACAGCTGCTTTTACTTAAACCACCACCTTTCCTCGTCAGACTTCTTCTTCCAGACACCTTTGTTCGAATTGGATTCGAACTTGGGATGCCTACTGTACGGGCATCTTAACTTATTGTTGCTTTCACTTTTTCCCTATTATCTACTGTTCCACGAGTGCTCAGATATTTTGTAGTGCCGTAAGCTCAGAAAAGTCAGAAAGTCATCATTGAGCTCACTTAGTAAAAAATGCTAAATTTTGTAGTCCTCAGAAATTCAATTTACAAAGGGAAAAAATTCTCTTTTCACTGAGTGGCCTTTACCAAGTCTTGGCCTCTGGTTTGGTTAATGATAGATTTACTAGATCTAAGGTCACAATGACAATGTGAAAACAGTTTTTTGGCGGAAGACTTAAGTCTTTCACACAGTCTGCTCGATAAGAACATATATGCGATATTAAGGACTGTGGGCTTGCCTTTTTGTGGATTGGACAGAGCACATTTAGGTTCCAACTTTCGGGCATGCTTTGGTCCGATCTTATTCCGCAATGAACATGATATATGTACTTTGTAAGTTATTCGCCGCCATATTTCAATAGCTCTTCTGGTAAGCAATGAGATCGCGTCATTTTTTTCCCTTCAATCTGACGTTTGTTATTCGAATAACTTCAAGGTCAGCAGACGGAATGTTTGTTTCTTTATCACCGATCAAGGCTTCGAGCACAACTTTTCCGGTCTTTGTTCTTGCACTACCGTTCAGCAGGATATACAGGTGGTCTTCCTTGGGTCTTAGAAGATTATGCTTCGGTTTTGTAACATTTATTCCCACGCATTTCGAGCTTTCGCTCTTTCTTTCTGCAATTGCGTCAATTCACATCACAATGTGCCTTCCATACAGTGCGCGTCACAGTTGCGCACTACGTTTTGCCTTTTTCTCTCTACTACAGTATTGTGATCTTCGTATCAATCCTTCTCTTTTGACCGAAAGCCAATAGTGTAGTTTGCAGCCGTAAGTAGTGAGCTTAAAATGTCACCACAAAGTTCCCCGGAACACCCCGGAACGGGTGGCTGATGAGTGATCACAGAAAATGAGACTGCAAGACGAAGAGAAAACTCTTCGGTTGTATGTTGTTATTGCATCTTTCTGCATTTGTTTGATGGACTTTTCATTATAATTCTATTTAATTTCTAATTTTCGAACGGCTTATAGATTGTTATTTCATATCCGTTCCATTCTATAATTTTTAGATGTTGGCCTAGCTAGAGTACGAAACCATAACGCATAATATCACTCGGCTGATGTCTTAGTCTTAATCATAATTCAGTAATTTTTATTTGTTTGTCTTTAGACCCTCCGATTGTGTGATGAAAAACTGAGGTTTACTCGTCATACCAAGATAAAAGTTTTCGTACTGTTTTTTATTGCTTCGAATCTTAATACTTCAGACTTCAAAGGTTTTCTAGTTACTCTTCTCATGTCCTCAAACATACGTTAACATTCTGAGGTAGCCACACTTCATTTTGATACAAAGTAAGCAGAATTATGTATGTTATAAGCGAATCACATTGTCATTGTTGGAATGCTATAAAAAAATTATAGTGAGAATTATCAATAAACTGGAGTTCACATCTACTAGTAAGAATACGTTATAATTCAGTCCATACCGGCTACAGATGTGAAAATGAAAAAAAAAACTTTAACATAATGTTATTATTATATTATACTTTTATTAAAATTTTATAAACCATTTAATATAAGGTTCTGTCAATATATTCCCTTTATTTTAAACTTTATTAATTTTTTTTCTCAATTTTATGCTCAAATTATTTCTCTCTTCACTCTATTACTGGCACTCCTCTGATGTACACCATGGCGTATGAACAACCGACTACATAACCTGACAACATACCCAACAACAAAAATTTCGTTGCACACAAACAAACGAACAAAAATCACCAAAAACAACAATGTACTACGTGCAACAATGTATCTTGAAACAACTTTAATAACAAACTTTCCAACTATTCACTCACCCTCACGCTGACGGCTGCACACCATCAAACCGCATGTCCACAGATGTCAATCAGAGCGGCGAAATCGACGTTAAAGACTTTGAGTTGGCCATTGAGGTAAGTGTTGGCGGACAAAAGTTTCGTTTTAAAAATTTACTTCCTGAAAGTTATTGTTCCATTTCGAGCACAGTAAAGGCAACAGCAAGGTACACAGCACACACCCGCACACACACACACACATACATGCGAGTGGAGTGGCGCAAGTGTGTTGTTGGCAAAAAGTGGCGCAACACTTGTGGGAGATTTATTTGCATGCAAATAATTGCCAACATATTTGTTGTACCACACTTGTCTCTTTGTTTATTCGCTGTTTCTCTTTTGCAAATTTTTTACTGTAGTTGTAGTATTAAANTTGCATGCAAATAATTGCCAACATATTTGTTGTACCACACTTGTCTCTTTGTTTATTCGCTGTTTCTCTTTTGCAAATTTTTTACTGTAGTTGTAGTTGTAGGCTGTCTGGATATACGCAAGCGTGTAACTCAAGTACATACATACTATGTGTGCATGTACATATGTACGAGTAGGTGGAAACATACAAATTTACATATGCACAAGTGTGTTGTTGTTGCTGCTGTAAGGGTTTGCATAATTTAATTTGGCACCCAAAAAGTGGCGGCACATAATTTAGGCCAATCCTCGTGTGTGTCTCGTATATGTGAGCCTTGTCCGCTGTCTACTACTCCACTTGCTGCTTTTATTCTTCATCTCTATTTAACGAATTATTGTTATTGTTGCTTCACTGCCACTGACAACATAAATGCATATATTTACTTTTTTTATCTTTGTTTCTGATTTGCATATAAATTTTTCTTTTTTTTTTTGCAGCGCGTTTGCCAACTACGCGGCTGGGCAGAGAATACGCCAAAGAATAAAGAGATCCATGCGGTCATGCTGGAAATCTGGGAGGGACTGCGCTCCAAAGCTGACAAGGATAACGATGGACAGGTGAGTTACACATGTACTATTGGGTAGTAAAAAGACAGGTCAAAATAAATTAAGAGTAAAATGAATAAAAATGCAAATGAAAGCTGAAAAGCGGAGAAAGGGAACAAGCTCCTGACAAAGAGATTATCCGCATATGTGGGCGTTTTGTGGCATTTTCTAGCAATTTGCATATAAATATGACTTAATTGAATTAGTGCAAATAGAGCATATTGATATATTTTGTTGAAATTGAGCCGCTCGACGGTAATTTTTCACCAGAAATAGCATTTTCGATGTAAACTTTGCTCAACCAAGCATAGTTTTTGTTAAGGGGTGGAAGCAAAGACAGGAAATATTCGGGGTTTCCTCTTCTGTTCATTCGACATTAAGTTTTCCAAAGGGAACTAAGCGTTATAACGAAAGTCGCTTCATAGTAGCTCGCTCCTAATACGTTAACCCAACCTATTACAATATATTCGGACAGCCAGGCTGCTAGGCTGCCGAGCTGCCACCTCGAAGGTGGCAATAAAATACAGAGAGATATTAAACAAACCCTCGACTCTATGCAAATCATCCGTGGTATGTATCCCTAATCACAGGGGCATCCCAGGAAACCGCGTGACCGACAAACTGACCAGAAAGTGAAAAGTCTTAACAGACGGCAAACTCTACACATGACGTGGCCAATCTGATTATTAATTAAGGTTAACATAACTAATTCACTACTCCTTCTAAACCGAACCTACATAAGCATAACAGCCGGCGTAATAATCGGACTTTGTTCATGGGGACTCATAGTAGAAGGATGAGCTGCTCTCAAACGACTTCTATCGCAGACGTAGGAACATAAATGAGAAGAAATAAATGGAACAGTTCTCAGAGTGGACCGTTACTGTGACTAAGCAACCTATTAAACTAACTAAGTAATATTGGCTTGATAATGCATTGACAACCCAATCCATGGTGAGGCAAGAAGTAGTTAGTTGGTTGGTTGAAGAGGTTGCCGTGTATCAGCTCACCTTGGCTCCAAACGGGCCTATTATGATACCACTGAGGGTCCTAATGACCCTCAACCACTAATCAAACAAATGTGTGGAGCTTGCAAAACTGAGCAGTCGCCGCATGTTATCTCCCATTATATCGCTCAAACCCCCAAAGGTTGCCAACCCTAGAGACTGCAAAATACTCCTCTTGAGACTTCTCCATTTTTGGTTAGCATCTTTAATGAATAACTCTCTTGTAATGAGCTAACAAGTGGATAGCGTAATCTCAAACTCTTCTATAATGACGAAAGTGGAAGGGAAGTGAACCTTCCTCCTCCTCCAATTTGTGATTTTGCGTATTGATGTTTTTCCAAAAAAAGGGAGTGACCTACAGTTTATACTATATTCCAGCAGGATTATAACTAATGAGCTGCTATTGAGTTTTCCAAGACTACGGGAGCACTTTTATTTATACCAAAAATATCAAATTTGCGGCCTAATATCGCTTAAGTGGTTATAAAGCTTTAACTGTGTTTATTGTTTTAACTCTTACCTAGCGAAACTCGAGCCCGTTCATCGTCAGTCAATATCTGTACATCACGGGGCGCATTTTCGACTTTTCTCAGACATTTCGTCAGTCACAACTGAAAATCCTCCGCTCTTATCAGCATTTGCAGTTTTTTCCTGATTATCCCTGAATCCCAAGCGGAGGTTTACCCTACCAAACGAGTTGGCGGATAACGTTTTGCACTTGACGTGAGACCTGAACGATATTGTTCACAAAATGCGCTGTTACGTCGACAGGCGTACTGGCCTCGAACCTGTTTGGAAGAAACTTGGAAACCTCCGGTTGGAAGAGTCTCAGTACGCTTACTGTAAGGATATTACTCGTTTTAAGGTAGTCTAGCCTTCGTTACTGAAGGCCTTAAGCTTTGATAAAAATAAATCACATATGTACTTGCATGTGTTAAGAGCATTTTAGGGGGGTTCATATGGTTGTGGTATGTACAAGATCATAGCCCTATTCAGCATCGGAGTGACTCGAAGCAAGTAATTCGAACCAAGTAACTGATCTGGTCATAGTCACAAGAAACTTGAACTTTTTATGTAATCTTTTACCAAAATAACTAGTTCTTATGAGATCACTACATATATACATATCGTCAGCTTTCAATCCGTGTATTTAAAAAAAAATCTTAATCCATTTTACATAAGCTTTGCCTTTTCAAAGTTGCCAATAACAGACAGTGCATTATACGAGCCAAACCGTATTCCAATCTAATTCTCTCTTCGCTTTTCATTTTGGCAGTAAATTTGAAAGTGTCAATAGGACTTTTTATTGCATTTCGCCGATACTGACAACCTGGGCGGGGTACTTCATCTTCACTTGGCTTCGCACATTTCTCAGTTCTAATGAAGACGCAAATATGTATGCATGCACAGAGTGTTTGCTGTTTTATTTGATGCATTTTTTTTATTATGATGCATGCTTTTCGGGTTTTTTTTTTCGGAGTGAAAAACATGAAAGACATAGAAAGACTTGATTTATCTTTAAAGTCCTGCCGCTTCTCCAAAAATTTGGAATTTCCAAGAAAGCTCAGACGGCATTGCAGAATTATCATTTGTGTATGGAGCACATGTACATGTGTATATTGCGTATATGTAAATAAAATTCTAGGAGGACAGATTTTCAAATTTACTTCTATTTATTTTGTACTCGTCATTTCACCTGATTTTCATTTACATACTTACATCTGTTTGTAGGTGCATAACGCTCAATTCCATTCCCCGGTTTATTCAAGTTTGTTAGTTCAGCTCTGTTGCGCTGTTGGTCTTTTGTTCTGTTGTGAATGTATGTGTTCTCACGACACTTCACTGCCAATGTCGCATAAATATTTTCTATGTCACAAACCGAAAACCCAATGTTGCATGAATTTCACATACCAACGGTGTGTGTTGCTAACAAAACGTAAATGCAGCTCGGGCGTTGAGATTTGCAAATGCAATTGTTTGAATGGATATCGATGGTTCGATACTTTTTTGGTGTGCCGTAAACAATTTGCTAGCTCGCGTTTTCATTCCAATTGAGTGAGCAGATGGCGAATATTCGCCTCGGAGGCTTTTTTTCCACTCACGCATACTCTCATATATCCGTACGCATCTGTGTGTCTCCCTTATTGTTAGCACCCACTGGAGCTACCGTGCAAAATGACAAGCGACAATAAATGGTTACAGTTACTCGTATATGCACTGTGTCCGCCTTGTTAGAAATTTATGGCAGCTGTTTGTTGCACAAATTCAGCCGATTGAAAAATTTTGCATGGCATAAATTATATTTACTGGATTTTCTCATTTCTCTTGCACTATTGAGTTTTAAAAATATTGAATTTAGTTATAAATATGATGCAAAGTGTTAGCTTAGCTCTTTTGAAGTTAGGTTAATGTTATGCCGCATTAAGGCCTCTTAATATCTCTCTCGTAAAGAGGCAGACACTGCATTGTGCTCGGCGGAGAGTGAGCGAGTGAGAACATAATCGGTCTTAATTGCGTTAAATTTAGACCATTTAGACTAGGCTCATTGAAAAGCTGTTGAATTTCTATGAGTAGTATTTATTTACATGCCAGAAACGCACTCGGAGGACTTGACATTCCCTGCCGAGTGGCGTCCGCAATGAGGAAAATTTACTTTCCACAATTTGAATGTTGGTCAAACCTAAACTCAAGCTTGGCTTTCCATATGTCAATACGCTATACTACAAGCTCGACTATATTGAATGACTCAGCAATATTACTTGATGTGGCTCAAGCAATCGATACGGTATGACATGAAGGATTCATGCACGAAATTAAAGAGATTTTGTTAAAAAACAATAAAGTGCTCATATCGTACTTTACCAGCAGGCGGTTTACAGGTGGAGTAAAGGAATTTATCTCGGAGTGGTATCCAAATACGGCGGGTATTCCTCAAGCAGCGTTTTGGGACCAATGCCTTGTTTAATGCAGATATTTTAACAAGCGGAGCATTTATGCTGGCCATCAGTTGGTAGTGTACTGAAACCTCCTGGGGCTTAGATCTCATCTCTTACCTAATGCTCTTTTGCATGTATACGAGAGGATTAACAGAACCTCGGGAAAAAATGGTATTTGCATTTATTCGTAATCTCTGTTCTTTTTTATCTTCTCTACATAATCGTCATTGATCTCAATGCATTTCTTAAGCCTATAGATCCACTTCTGAAAAACAGTCTTCAAGATCTTGCCTTTTAAGCTTATCAAGTTCAGTATTAATCGCATCAATTATTTCCTCGTACCTATGAAACCCCTTTCCTTGTAAATCTGGATATAACCAGAAATCACAGAGTGCTATGTCTGTGTGTGTGGCAGTGTGCGATGGCGCGTTGTCATAAATTAAAAAGTAGCGCTGCAAATCCTCTTTCCTCTTGTTTTCCAAGAAATTTTTGAAAACTTTTGGTAAGCATTCTTCGGTGTACCATCCTGTAGTTACCCTCTGACCTTTTTCGAGTGGAACAGCAGCAGCGACTTTAGTTTGGGTGAAGCGGACATCATTCCTTTTGCTGCTGATTTCTGTTGCTTAGATTTTATGGGTGGGTTTGCTCCTGTTGGGTTCCATACCATTGACTGCTATTTGGTTTCTGCATCATTCTTATAGAACCAAGATTCATCACAAGTTATGACTTTACTAAAGCTGCTAGACTGACCATATTCGAATTTGTTTCGGAAAAATTGAGCAAAATTCACACGAGCCTCTTTTTGGGCCTTATTTAAAAGTTCGAACAGATTTATTCGTGTATCTGAGATAACTACTTCACTTAACTCATTAGCAATAATTTCTTGTGTCAATCGTGGATGTTCGACAATTTTGAACTTCACGAGAGCTACAGTAAGGTAATCAGTGAAACATTTTGGTCGACCTTCGCGGGGGCTCGTTCTGTACAGAAAAATATCCGGCCTGGAATCCTCGAAACCACTTTGAAATAGTCTTTGAAGATAGTGCAATCGTTCCATTTTCAATTTGGC